AGTAGTTGGAGTCATACAGTGCATCCTGCTAAGCCAAAATGCACTGGGCTTAACATGCTGTGATTGTAGCTTGCAAACTCAGTTAGAAATCATTGTTAACTAAGCTTAGAGTGATTTCCTTCTTTTTCTCTCCACCAAATCCTAATATTTCCCGCTATTTAACATTGATTGTTGCCTTTAATTAATTGTTTACAGATTAAAAGAGCACCAGCCCAAATACTTGGCTGCATGTCATTGAGTGAGTCGTAGAAGGTAGAAACATCTAGATCAAGAGTCCCCGAAGTGGTCAATATAGACCCTCAAGGGTTGATGAGACTATCCAAGGTTTTGATAAATGTCTGGGGGTCAAAAGAGGGTCAGAATATGTCTGGGAGTCAATATCTGGTCAATAAGCGATGGAAGATTGACTGGGATCAATTAATCTTTGAGGGTATCTATAGAGCTCCATGACAGTTCCTAGTTCTGAAGATGAGGTGGCTAGTGGCAAGACAGTGTCACCCAGGATTAGTTGGTTAGTTGCCAATAGGAGTGGCTTAAGTTGTTTCTATTATGGTTCATCACAGATGTTTAGCCAGAACTTGGTTTTTATCTACCCATTGAGTCCTTCCCAAAGACCTGGGATAGACAGATGTTCTACTCTGATGAGTTAAAGATATTGTCTCAGTATATAAGGTGTTCCAAGTAAAGCTGCCTTCTGCAATTGACTGATGGTAGTTTTGTCAATGCCGATGGTGTTCAAGTGCTTCTCCAGTTGTTTTGGGATTCATCCAAGGGGCTTTATTAATATTGGTACTACACTTGCTTTCTTTTGCTACAGCCATTCTACTTCTATTTGCAGGTCTTTATATTTCATTATCTTCTCCAGTTCTTTCACTTCTCTTCGGCTACTGCCATATCTGCTATCCAGCCTTTTTTTTCTTTGTTATCAACAATTGTTTACTTTTAGCAGGTGCTTATCTATTTGGATTCTAAAGTCCCATGGTGCTTTAGTGTCTTCCTTTTCTACCAGGCAAATAGTATTTCTTGCTGATCTTCCAATGCACCATTGTTGCTACTTTGTCATGCCATAGTTTGCAATCAGTCTGTCTGATCCACTGTTGTCCCCCGTCCCCCACCCCCGCTTTTTTGCAGACTGTTGCTGTTTCTCAATTCTGGCTTTGTATGCATTTATTCTTAAGGCTTGATCTTGTGTAGCCAGAATTAGCCAGCCCCTCTATTTCTTTCTTCCATTTCCCCGCTCTTAGTCATTGTTATTACTAATGGTACTAATAATAGTACCATTAGTTAAAGTAGTAATTGTTACATTATTTTCATATAATGAATATTTGGGGATATGTGTGTGTCAATAAACAATCAAAAACTTCATGAAGGAATCAATGAGTTCATGAGTTTGGAGATCACTGATCCAGAACAATTTAACTGAGTAGATTAAATCTAGTTCATTGAGTAGAATTTTTATCTGATTAATCGCTACAAAATCCCATGGCTATATGCTAGATTTGGAATAGATAGACAGATGATAGATAGATAGATATAGATAGATAGATAGATAGATAGATAGATAGATAGATGATAGATAGATAGATGATTGAGATACATGATAGATAGATAAATAGATGATAGAGATGATAGAGATAGATGATAGATAGATGATAGATAGATAGATGATTGAGATGATAGAGATAGATGATAGATAGATAGATAGATAGATAGATAGATAGATAGATAGATAGATAGATAGATAGATAGATAGATAGATAAAGATAGATCTTGTCAGGAATTAACAGCAAACCACTTTTGCCAAGGAAACTATACAGATCCAGTATGTCCATGAAATGACCAGGTGAATCTGTCTCAAAGTAGATTTTACTTTTAAAAAGAAAGCATCCTAATACTTAAAGATAGTAATTTAAAATGTCTTGCTAAGGCACTAAGACATGAATCTGTAATTCACTTGTGCCATGGCAAAGCCAGACATCAGCTGCCTTTAATCTCTAACACTTTTATTACTGCTATTTAGTTAGATTTCTGATTTTGTTTATTGATGTGTATAGTCTTGATCATATTTATTACCGATATAAATCAGGTTGGGTACAACATGCTCGGTGAAAAACGGCTGTTTATAAATCTCACTGTAAACCCACAAGATAAAATTATTAGTGGGGGGGGGGAATCTTCCAGCGACTTGCCCCCAAATTGTTGACATAAATACTAATTAAGCTACAAACAGCATATTTGAAGGAACAGAAATGCCAGAGGCTCCCTGCAAACATCTATCCATTCCACTCTCAATATTTCATTTTGTCCTGGAAATGGTCCATAATATTCATACCAATCGTTTATAATGGGATGACATACCCTCGCGGAGGATTTATTAAAAGACTTCGCCAAATCCTGCCCCTAATGTTTGAAAAATCCTTGATTCCGGAGAACCAGGCCTTCTTATTTTGGTACCCCTTTTAAAATATCCAGAAGGAAAAAAAATGACTGCCTATTTCTTTGAAAAATTTCTTTGTCGAGTTGAGGCCGTACAATCGATACATCCTTGCCTGAGATGATAATAATTCTTTTTTCTCCATGGTGAGCACACAAGAAGCTATTTTTTTTCTTGGTGGCATGGTGGAGAGAAAGAGATGGGCAGAGTGTTGGGTACTGCATGTCTACCATGAGGCAACTAGAACTTCTATATTTTGTACTGTCTTTCCCCCAAAATAAGACCCCTGTCTTATTTTCTTTTGACCACCGAAATAAGCACTTGGCCTTATTTTCGGGGAGGTATTGTTATGTTTGAGGTGCAGGAGGCAGCAAGCGTGGTCACCTCATGGCTGCTGCTGTGTTGCAATATTTTCAGGGGAGGGCTTATTTTAGTGCATGCGCTCAAAAGCCCAATTGGGCTTATTGTCAGGGAGGTCTTATTTTTGGGGAAACAGGATAGATTTCTGAAGAATTTTTCCCTCTTTCTGTCTCATGTGCATCTCTTATTTTGCTCCAGCCTACATGTAGTCCTCAATTTACAACAATTTGTTCAGTGTACTTTTCAAAGGAACAATGGCACTGAAAAGGGTAACTCTTGGCCGTTTTCATGCTTATGACCTTTTCAGCATCCCCAAGGTCACATGATCAAAATTCAGAAGCTTGGCAACTGGCTCCTATTTATGACGGTTGCTGGGTCCCACGGTCATGTGATCACCTTTTGGGACCTTCTGACAAGCAAAGTCAATGAAGAAGACAGGTTCACTTAACAACCATGTTACTAACTTAACAACAGAAGTGATTCACTTAACAACTGTGGCAAGAAAGGTGAAAAATTGGGCAAAATTCACATAACAACAGTTTTTGCTTAGCAACTGAAACTTGTGGTCGTAGGTAAAGAATTACCTGCACATGGACAGGAGGAAAGAGTGGGTATAGAATGAAACATTCAACATAACGTTATTTCTCTAATGGTGCTTCTGCATCAAACTGAGAATCTATCATGGATTCCAGGAACCGGACATGACATAATGTTTTTAAGATCTAGGGAGCAGCTGTCTCTGGCCAGAATGTTCATTAATATAGCTTGTTAGATCACAGATTATACAACACAACAAATTCCTTAGCGTTTATGGAATTTACTGAACGGAAGTTCTCAAATAGCAATTGGCGTCTTGTTCACCTGATCCAGAATTCTTCATGAAAAATTTATTTTCCTGATGAACAAGAACTTGTGGCATGTGTTTGAAGATTGGGGAAATCTCACTTTGGAGGACTCAAAATGAGATATAACTGCAAACATTTTGAAGGCTGCATTCGGTATTGCAATCAGTCCTCTGGCTAACCACCCATGCGGTAAAGATACGGTAACTGCTATTCAATTTCAAATACTTGCAAGCTTGCAATAAGAATTTTAAGACTAACATTCCCTGCTTTTCCATTGAATATATTCAAAGTATTATATCTGACGGCCCGATCATTAGAAATTCTTCGATTTCTACAATCCTGACCATGTTTTAACTGCTCCTATAATGAAACTTAGATCTATGAAAAAAAAGAATTAATGACTTCAAAGGAAGTCTGCCCCATTTTAGGGATAGATCACTGATCTAGCAAATTTCTGGTCTGATATTATTTTTTTATGAAAGATCCACAGAATTACACTGGCTGAACCTATAGAGGGAGGGAGCTAGCATTTTCCTTTTGAAGCTTTATGAGACGGTTAAGAGGTCCTGTCAATCTTGTTTGCAACGTTTATTTTTTTAGAAAATTGACAGTCATATCTGCTTTCTGCGCAGCCTTAAAACTAGCCACGCAACCACAAAGTAGGTGTGGTCATTCCAGGAAGTACTAGAATAGAAACCTCCACTAGCACTGCTATAAACTTCCTATAATTTTTAATTATTGAATAACATAGATCAGGGGACTCTAATCTTGACAACTTTAAGACTTGTGGACTTCAACTCCCAGAGTTCTCCAGCCAACTGGAGAATTCTGGGAGTTGAAGTGTACTGCTTCTGGGAGTTGAAGCATAGCTGGCTGGAGAATTCTGGGAGTTGAAGTCCACAAGTCTTAAAGTTGTCAAGTTTAGGGACCCCTGACATAGATGGTATATTGGCTGCACCACAAAGTTACTAAAGTAAATGCAACCTGACTTTCTATCCAAGTGCTCTTTTTATTTATTTATTTTATTCATTTCTTCCCGACAAAAGGAAAAAAAAAAGATGACATTTCTGGTAATTGACATTCATCCCTAGCTAAGGTCCATTCTGTTCATGAACTCAGAACCAACACATGAATTCTTTTTTAAAAAAACCTCGGAATTCCAAGCAGAATTCATTTTAATCTTTTCTTATAAGGCAACAACTAAAATTTGGATTTATTTTCAATTGACTAAACGACTTGTGGCAAAATGGTTCATATACCGTGTTTCCCCCCAAAATAAGTCAGGGTCTTATTTTCTTTTGACACCCCCGAAATAAGCACTTGGCCTTGTTTTCGGGGAGGTCTTATTATTTTTGAGGTGCAGGAGGCGGCGAGCGTAGTCACCTCACGGCTGCTGCTGTGTTGCAATATTTTCAGGGAGGGCTTATTTTCAGGAGGGGAAGATAGTTTTGAGAGGGGTCCTGAGTGGAACCAAGCAATTCACGGCACTGGCTCCATCCCTTTTTATATGTTGTAGGCAAACTAAGTAACCAACAAGCTATTCTGAAAGAAAGGAAAGGAGACAGTTTCTTAAATATTTTGCCCATCTGGATTCTCTCGGATTGATGTTCAACACTGAGAATGCTGCACCCAAACACTGAATATAAACTGCCTTAGAACAAAGAACCATTGCCATCTCCCAAAGCATTTAAACAAACTATATTAAAATACCATCTTCTGTCACATTTAAAGGCAGTAGGATATGTTTCTTTTCCCCCTCTATATTTATATATACACAGAGTTCTGCTCTAGAAAAACCAATACAATAAACTGTTACTTAACATCTTCATTTAAAAACAGGCAGTCTTTGGTGATGTGAAGGCAGGAAACATGTCGCTTGTAGGTCTGTTACCTTCTGCCTATTTCACTCTGTCTCATAAAGTGAATATTGTTGGCACTGTCTGCAAGTTCTAGATACTGCTCCACAGATAAGACAAAATATCCGTCATAACCCTGCACTTTCCCAGTGCTCAAAAGCTGTTGCTTCTCCCCCTCGGTCCAAGCCCTTGTACCTTCTTCACCATCTTGCAGTCGCTTTTGTTCCTTAGTCCAAGCTTGTAGCACAGCTCTTTGACGGGCGATCTCCAAGACGTGGTTTTTCTCCTCTTCGATAGTCGTACCATATCGAACATTAAAGCACAAAAAACCATGCTGGAGTTGGATGTCCGCAAATCGCCTTGTCCTCCCGTTGATGACCGAAGTCATCTGTGACACCGTGACATTGACCCCGTTGTCCAAGATCCGCCGCCCCCCGGTGTTGCCGATGAGAGAGAGGTCTTCTTCCAAAGACCCGAGTTTGATGAAGTAGTGCGTGTCTCGTCCATCGATGGTGAAGTGGAGGTTCTCCAGGTAATGGGCGCCGTTGAGGATGGCAGCGATGCGTCGGCTGTCCTCAATGGCTACGCCGATAATGTCTGCTGTTACCTGCCCATCTTTAATTGCGAATTTGATGCCCTTCCCAAAGACCGAAGGAACGGCAGCAAATTGGGGCTGTCTTGCCCGCTCTGTACATCGGCTGACACTGTATTTGGGGGTCATGGGAAGCTGGTCCAAGGAAATGAAGTTCCGGAGTTGTTTCTGTAGTTCACACTGAATGCCAAGAATAGTCTGGGAAGGAAGGAAGGAAGGAAGCAAGGGAGGGAGGGAGGGATAAAGGAGGGAGGGAAGGAAGAAAGAAGGAGGCAGAGAGCGAAGGAAGGGAAAGAGAAAAGGAAGGAAGGAAGGAAGGAAAGAAAAAAGAAAGAAAGAAAGAAAGAAAGGAGACATAGAAGGAAGGAAGGAGAATAAAGAGAAGGAAGGAAAGGAAAGAGAAAAGGAAGGAAGGAAAGAAAGAAGGAAGCAGAGAGGGAAGAAAGGAGATTAAAGAGAAGGGAGGAAAGGAAAGAAAAGGAAGGAAGGAAAAGGAGAATAAAGAGAAGGAAGGAAAGGAAGGAAAGGAAAGAAAAGGAAGGAAGGAAAGAAAAAAGGAGACAGAGAGGGAAGGAAGGAAGGAAGGACAATAAAGAGAAGAAAGGAAGGGAAAGTGAAAAGGAAGGGGAGTAAAGAGAAGGAAGGATGGAAAAGAAAGGAAGAAGACAGTATCAAAAGTGAATGTAGTTTCTTAGAGAAACACAACACAATACCAACTTTTCATTGAATGTACCGCATGGGAATTTCCAAACATTGGTGCAGGAAAGTTGTCACAACTAACAGTTGTAGAGCATGGATGTGGACGCACATTCTGCAAGATTGATGAAATGAGAAAACAAAATGGCACTGGAAGCCACATTTCCAGATGCCTGCTCTTTGAGACATATTTGCGAGTTTCCAGAACTGAACAACTGATCTTAAAATGTGTCACTTTATTGACTGGATATGGAACTTCTTGGTTTGCGCTTACTGAACATTTTGTACAGCAGAGAATTATTTCCTGCAAATAATGCAGAAATTGTAGATTTTAGTGAAGCTGTGCTTGAGAATGAGTGTCCCCTTCCAGTTACAGATAATGGCCATTCCTGACTTAAGGTTTGTTTGGTATGAATGTGATTAAAACATTTTAAAATGCCCCACTGTCACTCAAGGCAATTTTTTGCCTCCTGTATTTCAGGTTGGAAGAAATGGGGTTACAAAATAATTCTTCATAACCAAAAGGCAATGTATTGTGTCTCTGAGCACTGGGACTATGCTCCAGAGAGTTGTGTTATTAGGTTACAAAGGGAGGGAGGGAGGAAGGAAGGAAGGAAGGAAGGAGGGAGGGAAGGAGGGAGGGATGGAGGAAAAGACCAAGACCAATACAAGTGCCATGTGGAAGGAAGGAAGGAAGGAAGGAAAGAGGAAGGAGGGAGGGAGGAAAAAACCAAGACCAAGTGCCATGCGGAAGGAAGGAAGGAAGGAAGGAAGGAAGGAGGGAAGGAAGGAAGGATCTTTCACAGAATCTTTGCATACGTCCATCCCAAATCAATTGTCAAGCACCAGGGAAATCAGGAGAGCCAGCCAGTTCAAATGAGCATACTGATTTATTGCAAGATTAAGCTCTCTACAAGAATCTGAACTACTAACAGCCAAAGGAAATTGGTGGTAGATAAGGATAGAAGGAATTCAAGATGGGCTGATCTCTTGTGGGTGCGAGAGGACTGATGAAACATTTGACTCCTCTCTCGAGCTCAGCCTGGTCATCTCCTACATCTAGAGCCGTGGTGGCACAGTGGTTAGAATGTAGCATTGCAGGCTAATTCTGCCAATTGCCAGCAGTTCAATCCTGACCAGCTCAAAATTCAATCCTTCCAAGGTCAGTAAAATGAGGACCCAGATTGTTGGGGGCCATATGCTGATTCAACTGCTTAGAGAGCTGTAAAGCACTGTGAAGCGGTATATAAGTCTAATTGCTATTGCTCTTCATTCCTTCCCTCTCTCCTTCCCTCCTTCCCAGTGGTTAAAATGCAGTATTGCAGGGTAATTCTGCCCACTGCCAGCAGTTCAATTCTGACCGGCTCAAGGTTGACTCAGAATTCCATCCTTCTGAGGTGGGTAAAATGAGGAACCAGATTGTTGGGGAAAATATGCTGACTCTGTAAACCGCTTAGAGAGGGCTGTAAAGCACTGCGAAGCAGTATATAAATGCTATTGCTATCAATAAGTTACTCAATGAATGGAACGCGTGCCAAGACCATTTCACTATCAGAGAAAGAACAACTGCAAAAACTATCTTCTCCATCTTTGCTGAAATACTCTGGCTTTATAAGCCTACAAAGAGCTCTGCGTGATTAGTGCACATATTTGATTTGCCCTGTGAATTCCCTCTCCCACTTGTGATATTATTATGCCTATCACTGGTTGTCACCCGCCTTCTCCAACTTATTACCCCTGTCTGTGCTGTATTAAATGTTATTTTCAGGTTCTGGCCATACATAAAATAAGTTGTTTTGATATGGGGATCCCAATGAATCATTCTTTTGGTATATAGACCAAGGTACTTGTCTGTCACCCCCTTATACAAGTAACAATCAAATAGGATTGAGCCAAGTGTTTTACCTCTGCTGCTCTGCAGTTGCAGAGATGCTCATTGTAAGGCATAGGATGGAATCTCCCATATCTGACCATTGTGTCAAGCCGTTTGAATTTCGCTCTTGTAAATATCTCCCTAACATGTTTTGGCAATTGCAACTTCAAATAGCTGTCTACTTGAAAAGTATGCTTGTATTTGCTCAGCCATTTCAAGTTAGCCACCTTACCAAGGGTAGCTATATCATTTTGTGCTTCTATACCCTTAATTCTTTGGGCAGCTCTTTTTTTTGAGTTGTTCTCCTATTATGCAAGAGACAGGAAGAATTTCTTACAAAATTTGTTAGTTTGGTGACCAGGAGATTTGTGATTGTAATTTTATTTGCTCCAGAAGACATAACTTGGGGAGTCTATCAGTCTCCAATTCATTGACTTTGCACCAGTAAGTTATACGCTCTAATATTGGATAGTGCATGAATTGCATGAATTTTACAAGACGAGTACTCCAACTCCTCTGATCGTAATAAAATTCCGTATACCACCAGGCTTGAAATTTTAGGCCTGGATAACCTTGAACTACGCCGTCTACATTCCGACCTGAGCTTAGTGCACAAGATAATCTGCCATAATGTCCTACCTGTTAATGACTACTTTTACTTCAACTGCAATAACACAAGGGCTATCCATAGATACAAACTAAATGTAATCCACTCTAATCTTGATTGCAGGAAAAACGATTTCAGCAATAGAGTAGTAAATGTGTGGAACACTCTCCCCGATCCTGTTGTTAGTTTCTCTAACTCCCATACCTTTTACCTTAAGCTGTCTACTGTGGACCTTACGTGTTTCTTAAGAGGTCCCTAAGGGGGGCGTGCATAAGTGCACAAGCGTATCTACCGTCCCTGTCCTATTGTCCCTATTGATATGTACTCTTTTTATGTGTTTATGGCTATGTTTTGCTTATTTATATCCATTTATTTGTGCCATTTTTTCATGTGTTTTTCATACTTGTTTCCTTGTACTTGTTGATAAAACTATAAATGAATGAATGAATGAATGAATGAATGAATAAATAAATAAATAAATAAATAAATTCCCAATCCAGCTCTAACTGCTGCATTGGTTGTCTTCAGCCTTCTCCAGCTTAGATCCTTCAGAAGCCTTTGACTTACCTTTCCAGGATCCCACTCTTGGGTCTTGGTTTGAAGCTGCAAAAGCTCATAGGTTGTGTCCACGGTGTCCATCTCTGGCTTTGGGAACCCAGGAAGGACATTGTGAAGCTGGAATCCAAACAGTTCAAGCCAACTTCCGATATCTATCAAGGGAACCAAGAAGGGTTCGATTGGTAGAAACGCCAGTGTAAAAGCAAAGAATTCCTAAACATTAAACCCTTGTTTAAACATTAAACAAGTGTTAATCTTCTTTGATTAAGATCTCTTAAGAAACTTGAATACTGGAAACACTGTGGTGAAACAAACTTTCCCAAATATTAAAAAGTCTCTAAATATTTCTGTCTGGGAAAAGGGAGTGAAAAAAAGATTAACAAAATCTGACTGAAATGTTTGGAAGAGTAGGTAGCAGTTATCAGCCTTGTAGGGTAGTCCAGTTGGGAAGCATGCCCAGATTCAGATCAATATAGTGGGAAGGGACTTTATAGGTCATCTAGTCCAACCCCCCCCCCCAAAGCAGGAGACCCTACACCAGGAGTGTCAAACTCAATTTCATTGAGGGCCGCATTAGAGCTGTGGTTGACCCCAAGCGTGGCTGACTGGGTGGGTGTGGCTGACTAGGTGGGTGTGGCCAGCTTGATTGCACTCCCCAAACTGCTGGCATATTTCCTCTTTGCATTGGGTAGAGCGGGCCGAAGCGACACGGGCTGGCCATTACATTTTCCAGGACGGCCCCGAGGGCAGGCCAGACCCAGCCCATGGCCCTTGTGTTTGACACCCCTGCCCTACACCATTTCTGACAGATGGAAGTCCAATCTCTTCTTGAAAGCTTCCGGTGATGAAGCTCCCACAACTTCTGAAGGCAACTTCTGTTCCATGAATTGGTTGTTGATAGATGAACTAATTCCACTTTATTGTAAAGTTACATTAACTGAATTGTTCAAGCCTGAAAGTATGTTTCTCCCCCTCACCTTTACAGTAAGAAAAACTAGGGAAGGTCCAATAATGGAGTTCTGTGGGCATGGCTTGGTGGGTGTGCAGGGGAAGGATATTGTAAAATCTCCATTCCCTCCTCACTCCAGGGGAAGGTTACTGCAAAATCGCCATTCTCTCCCGATCAGCTGGGACTCAGGAGGCAGAGAATAGATGGGGGCGGGGCCAGCCAGAGGTGGTATTTACCAGTTCTCCAAATTACTCAAAATTTCTGCTACCGGTTCTCAAGAACTGGTCAGAACCTGCTGAATCCCACCTCTGGGAAGGTCCCTTCTGAGATGCTTGCCACATCCTATTCCTGCTGTGGGCTCATCCACCTCTTATCGCTTCCCCTGTCTGCTGCTTTCCCCACGGTCTCCCACGACTATTCCCCCACACCATAACTGCAGCTCTCCTCTGCTGTAATAAGAGTCATGACCTGTACTAAGTATGGAATATGTCCTGCGCTGTACAATTTCTTCCTTTGCTTGCCTCTTTAAATTATGTAACATGGATGAAATATTTAAAACGTACAGCAGGGCATCACGACTATTTAAACTTTTAAGGAAGTGCAGGTACATTTGTTTTCATCTTCCTTCTTCACCCCTTTTTCCTTTGGGGTCATGACTTCTAAATAATCAGCCCGATGGCTCTGACTCTCATGTTGTGCTTTTATTAATTCTGCAGGAGGCTTTTAGCCAAAAAGAAAAGGAGACAATTGCTTCTCAGTTGGAAAACCGCAGTGCTACGTACTTTCCATTTCAGTTCCTTCATAAAGAGGAAAGGAAGTAGCAGAATTTCTCAACAACCAAAAAATCTTCCCTCAGCCAATTTCATTCCTGTCCCTGCTGAAATACCCCACACTCCCTTTGTCTTGATCAGCACTAACTGAAATTAATACGATCTACAGGTAGGGTCTCCAACTTTGGCCATTTTAAGACTCGTGGACTTCAACTCCCAGAATTCCATGGCTGGCTGGGGAATTCTGGGAGTTGAAGTCCACAAGTCTTAAAAGTGCCAAGAAGGACCAGGGGACACATGATAGCAGTGTTTCAATATTTGAAGGGGGTCAAGCTATTTTCCAAAGCACCTGAAGGCCAAACAAGGAATAAAGAATGGAAACTGACCAAGGAGAGATTCAACTTGGAAATAAGGAGAAATTATCTGACGACGAGAACACTCAACCAATGGAACAGCTTTCCTTCAGAAGTTGTGGGAGCTTCATCACTGGAGGCTGACAAATGGCAATCCAATCTCTTCTTGAAAGTCTCAAGTGATGAAGCTCCCACAACTTCTGAAGGCAACTTCTGTTCCATTGGTTGATTGCGTGACCCGTCAAAACCGCGTTCCACAAAAGCGCAGTTGACGAAAGCGCGTATGTGACGTCATCACAGCGCGACGAAAAACATCGAAAAATTGAAATAAAAATTAAATTACAGCAAGCCGATTCACATAAAGGTAAGGGTTAGGTTTAGGGTTAGGGGTAGGGTTAGGTTAAGGGTTAGGGTTAGGTTTAGAGCATTAGCGTTACGTTTAGCGTTAGGTTAAGGGTTAGCGTTAGGTTTTTCGTTAGGTTAAGGGTTAGGTTTAGGGTTAGGTTTAGGGTTAGGTTAAGGGTTAGGTTTAGGGTTAGGTTTAGGGTTAGGTTTGGGGGGGTTAGGGTAAGGTTTTCGCTTTATTTTTACATTTTTCTATCTTTTTCGTCGCGCTGTGATGACGTCACATACGCGCTTTCGTCGACCGCGGTTTTGTCTACCGCGGTTTTGTGGTACTACCGGTTGATTGCTCTCACTGTCAGAAAATTTTTCCTTATTTCCAGGTTGAATCTCTCCTTGGTCAGTTTCCATCCATTATTCCTTGTCTGGCCTTTGGGTGCTCTGAAAAATAGTTTGACCTCTCTGTGGCAGTCCCTCAAATATTGGAATACTGCTACCATGTCTCCCCTGGTCCTTCTCTTCACTAGACAAGCCACACCCATTCCTTGCAACCGTTCATCGTTAAGAATGATGATTGGATGATTGAGACTCTCCATAGACAGTCTTCAGAACTCTACAATGATGCTCACTAACCTCAGTTTAAGCAAATGAATAGCCAGAAATGTCTTACCTGTAGTATATTTAGCCACATCTTGTATTTGACCAGCTGGATAATTATTTTCAAAAGCATAAAGGTTAAATGGTTTGGGAACATTCTTCAGTTCTTCCCAGATGCGATGGTTCGGGCTTGTCCAACGTCCAGCAATGACATCATAATCTCTTTGCCCCAAGTGCACCAACTTAGTCAAAGAATTATACAGCCCTCCGTGAAAACCGATCACCACTTCAAAATCTGGGTTGGTGTCCTGGTAGATCTCACCGTAAGGCGTGTAAAGGATTTCTTTGATCACTTGCCCCCGGCTGCTGAAGACAGCCAAGGGTGTCCCTGTGTTGTCACAGGCCACATAATACTCTTCACCACTGCTTAACTCCATAGCTATCAAGTGGCCTTGGAGATCGTAATAAAGGGATGTGATTTCTGAACTGCTGTGATTGTACAAGTGAGTAATTCTTACTGGGTTGGAGAGATCTGCGTAGAAGAACTGTAAATGTTGACCTAGATTTGACTTGCTGGCTACTCTTCGTCCCAAACCATCGTAGCAAAACTGGACAGTCCAACTAGAAACCCTGTTGTAAGTTCTGCTCAGGAAGCCATTGGAGTTGTACTCAAAAATGTCATTCCCTCTTTGTTTAAGGAAGCCATCTTCATCCACCTTGTACTGAAGGTCTCCTAGCCTTGTGATGCGGTCTCGGAGGTCGTACCTCAAAGGTGTGAGCCGTGCACTGTTCCCGTGGCTGAGCAAGTTGATATTTCCATTGAGGTCATAGCTGTAGCGCCACTGAGTCTTGTCGTTCACAGAGACAGTCTGAAGTTGCCCATCAGCGTCGTATTCATAGAAGTACCTTGTGATGTTGGCGTTTACTCCTACTCGGATGTCACAGATCACCATACGTCCCATGTTGTCATATTGAATGGTCATCCAGTAGGCAATGAATTTCAGAATTTCGTACTGCACTTCTATCACTTGGCCGTTGGCACTGAAAATTTTGGTATGCTTCATCATGGTGGTGGTGATAACTTGATTTAAGTCATAATTGATGACGCTGAATTTCCCAAATTGTTCTGTTTTCCCAGACACGTCTACGTAGCGGTACAGATCGATAGGGAGTGGCGTTTCGTTGATCATTGCTTGCATGCTGGTTACCCGAAAGTTGTTGTAGCTATAATCAAATCTGGCATTCACCAGACCTTCTTCACTAAATCGGAATATCTGTCGGCCAATTAGAGGTCCTATAGAGAAAAGGTAAAATGGGTAGTTAAGAAGAGAAAGCTACCCAGGGATGCTGGGGGAGACACATCAATTTAGTCAACCAAGAAGTTAGCAACCAGGGCAATCCATTAGGAGAAAAAAGATCTCAAGAATTATCATTAAAATGCATCTTTATTATGCCTAATTAAAAACCCACATAATTGTGAGGAAGCTTCCAAATTCTTCAGACCATTTAAAAGTTGCTCATTTTGTGGGAAGTGGGCACCTTTGGTTTGGATACTATAGGTTTTGGAATAACGACTTAGAATTTAGTTATTAACTATAGTTAAAGTTAATCTATATTAGATATGTTCTTGGAAGCATTTCCTAGTGATATTATATGAAATGATTGTGCCATGAGTGGAGGAGAAAAGGGGATAGAAAAGGGATCAAGTGAAAAACAAGAAGATATTACAGAAGAAAGAAGGACTGAAAAAGAAAAATATCCAGATGATTGCACTGGGATTTACAGTGGTACACTAAAAGTAGGCAAGGAGAATTGGCCACCAAAAAGGGAAAATTAAACAGCAAAGGTGGAAATAGTGGGGAAAGACTGGGAAAAAAACTTGGGTTACTAGTTACTAGAAAAGTTACTAGAACAATAAAACTAAAAGGAAGAAAAAAGATTGGGAAGAAAAAACATAGAAATTACAAAAACAAAAAAAGAAAGAAAAAGCTAGGTGAAAGAAGAGAATATAAAAGAAGTGAAGTTTCTGAGAGACCAAGAGAAAATGGTTAGGAAAGGAGGAAAGAAGGAAAAGGATTTACCAGTAGAATAAAATGAAATATGTTAATATTGTTAATGGCATATAGTTAATATGACGTGAGGGAAATAGATTAATACTATTAATTGTGGATAATTAACTAAGAGAAATGTATATCATACAAAATTAAATCTGAGGATATATGTTACCTATAGTAAAATAGAATAAAAGATGGAAATGAAATGTTAAATTATATTAACTTGGAGGGGCAAATAATGTGTATTTATTAAGAAGAAATTAAATCTAAGATGGAAAATATAGAAAGAAAATAATACGGTTGAAATTGGAAATGGAAATATGATGTAAAATGAATTATGCATATGAGAAGATGTTAGAGGGCAAAAACCTGGGCAACACTCTGTTTACAAAAGAAGTCAAATATGCAACAAAAAATAAATAAAAATGGTGTTGTTTTTTAAAAAAAAGAAATGATTGTGCCATGCAAGAGGCAGTACTAGCATATTCTATCTAACAGATTATCATAAATCTTCATCTTCTTTTTCCTTTTTAAAGATATTTTAGCTTTAAAATTATACAGTTTAAATCTAATCTTAACCAAACAAACCTATACCAAATTTGATAGATTGCCATTATTGCATAACTTATAGGTTTGTGGGATAGCAGGATAAGGCATTGCCACACAGATATCCTAAAACACTTTCTAGCCATATAGAATTCCAGTCGCAATTTTTAATTCTGGAGTTTTAATTCTGAAATACTTGCAGAGTGCTGTAATAAAAATTAAAAACACACATCTTTTTTTTTTACTACACATACATCTAATATTTCTTCAATAGAATTTTCCAGTCCTATCCCATTACAAAATCAAATTCTTTAGGTGGTTGTCCAAAGATCTAGCAAACCAGAAGACACCAGGGACTATATGCACCAGAGGCTATTGTTATGTTATTTGTTTACTTAGTCACTCTAACAAATGAAAAGGTTTAATGAATAAACTACATCCTTCTGGAATACAAAACAGATTTATCCAAAAGGTTTTTTTTTCCCCAAGTGATGCTTTCAAAATAGCTTTTTTGTATAAAAGAAAAGTTGAACCTCAGGGTAGCAGATCTTCATGAGAATGATGAATAGTTGCCAATAACAGGTGACACCTAGTGTTCTGACCTGGGCTTCCCAAGAGCATGAAGCAAACTCCTTGTCCCGACAAAAAACCCTTTTATTAATTTACTGTGAATTCTGCTCATTCACATCCAGCAAAGTCTTTCAAGGAAGGATTTACAGTCACAGACCTTATCTGGCTTGGAGAGCTGCCAGGCTGATATATGCAAAACCTGGCAAGGCGTCTCGGAGAGTCACGAACCAATTAAGCGAACTAATTGTCTCCTGCAAACTCCATTCTCCTTTTGCTCCTCTTTTATTTTCTCTGGGAGGGGCCATTCATTGTCCACCTGTGGCCTTACTCCTAAGTTGACCCCTGTTCTTTAGTTGTTCCCTTCATCTGGCAACTCTGTGCATGCACACACTGGGAACAAGCTCCAGTTGTTTGTTTGCCTCACTGATATCTGATTCTGAAGGCAGTTGATAACTGTCAGATGGCTCTGGTCCCCTCTCTGCCTCCAATGCAGAGCTCTCATCAGAGCCTTCTCCAGACTCCAGGACTGGCCCATCTTCCTCCTCCAAATCCTCACTGTCTGAATCTGCTGCCAGCTCTGCTGGCTACTGGCGGGCCACAACACCTAGGAACCTAATCTCAACCCACCTGTTTGCCTGTATCTGATGGTGCAAATAAACCCATCATGCATCAAGTGTATGGTTTTAATAACGCCGGATGATTCTTCATAAGTAAAGGAGACCTGTGTGGTATCGTAAAGGATCTCGGAGAGCTTGCCGTGTGGTGTATATTGGTAAAGAACTCGGCGGCCTGTTCCCGGGTAGAAAGATTGCAAGAGCCGTCCATCTTTGGAAAAATCCTGGACGAAGGAGGCACTGCTGTCTGGCGGAGAGTAAAGGTTTCGATAGTAGCCAACAGAGAGCATGGTTTGAAAACTGTGGCGGACCATACTTGGCATGGTGACAGACAGCAGGTAATCCGACTGGTCATGTTCGAAGATGTAGCGGCGCTGGCTATGCAGAAGGAGCATCACAGACTGAAAGAAAGAAAAACAACATAATGTTAGGAAATGAGCTTTTTCAGGGAGCCTAGTGGGGTAAATCAATCAGGATGCCCTACGCCAGTGGTGACGAAGCTACGACATGCGTGCCAGAGATGGTACTCAGAGCCCTCTCTGTGGGCACATGTGCCATCATCCCAGTTCAGCTCCATCACGTTTTTCCCACTGGGGGGGGAGATGGTGGGGGGAACCACTGGGGGGGGAGATGGTAGAGGGAGAGAGAGGGAGGGAGGGTGGGAAGGAAAGAGAGGGGGGAGAGAGGGAGAGGAAAAGAGAAAGAGAGAAAGGGAGGGAAAGAGAGGGGGAGAAAGGGAGAGGGAAAGAGTGAGAGAGAAAGAGAGGGAAAGAGAGAGGGGGAGAAAGAGGGGGAGAGGGAAAGAGTGAGAGAGAAAGAGAGAAAGGGAGGGAATGAGAGAGGGGGAGAAAGAGGAGGAGAGGGAAAGAGAGAGAGAAAGAGAGAAAGGGAGGGAAAGAGAGGGGGAGAGAGAGAGAGAGGGAAAGAGAGAGAAAGAGAAAAAGGGAGGGAAAGAGAGAGGGGGAGAAAGAGGAGGAGAGGGAAAGAGTGAGAGAGAAAGGGAGGGAATGAGAGAGGAGAGAAAGAAGAGGAGAGGGAAAGAGAGAGAGAGAAAGGGAGGGAAAGAGAGAGGGGAGAAAGAGGGGAAGAGGGAAAGAGAGAGAGAGAAAGAAAGGGAGGGAAAGAAATAAAGAGAAAGAAAGGGAAGGAAAAAGAGCAGGGGGTAGAAAGAGGGGGAGAGGGAAGGAGAGAGAGAGAGAGAGAAAGGGTGGGAAAGAGAGGGAGGGAAAGAGAGAAATGATATTACAAAGGTTGTTCTTTTTTATTGTTGCTAAAAGTAATATTTTCAAAAACAGAAAAAAATGAAGAGACATAAAAGTGCATTTATCACTTTTTTCTTAGAACAATTAGCTGAACTCTGCCTTGTTTACCATTGTTTTAGGTAGTAAAACCTCATTATTCAGGTTAAATTGCCGTCTTGGCACTTTGCAATAAATAAGTGGGTTTTGGATTGCAGTTGGGGCACCCGGTCTCTAAAAGGCTCGCCCTCACTGCCCTACACTGCAAACACCATTTCAGCCAGGGGATCTGCTTCAAGAGGGCACACAAAGGCATTTTTTAGATAGGGTAGAGACGATAAGTAACTAGAGTGAAGTAAGACATTTCATCGAATATACCCAGAGATCTCAGGGTGATCACATTCCCAGGAGAATGTGGGGGGACATCATGTAGGAGAGTACAGGATATCAATGGCTTATTTATAGATTGGATACAATTCAGAGTATCTTTTTTTCTAAGAATTTCTTCAATTGTAAATAATGCGTCCATATATCCCAGTCCGGTTCTTCCAAATGTGGTGGGACTGTAGCTTTAAACATTCCTGTCCCAAAGATGCTTTTTCAAAAGGCAACTAAACTTTGTTTTTCCTTGAAGATGTTTTGCTTCTCATCCAAGAAGCTTCTTCAGACAGAACTGAAGGGTAAGACACAAAATGTCTTCAAAGACCAAGTCCAGCTGCCTTTGAAAAAGCACCTTTGGGACAACTATGACCTGCAGGACTGAGAATCTCCATAAACATTTAAACATACTTTGTTTTGTAGACTGATGGAAATTCTAACTGGCAAAAGGTCTCCATGGTCTGAAAGAACCACCTTTCTCACCTGGTACCTCATCATTTTGAACCAAGATGTCAACACTTAAACCTTCTACTTTCATTTTTAATGCTTTCGAACTGCTAGGTTGGCAGAAGCTGGGATAAGTAACGGGAGCTCACTCTGTTATGCGTTGCTAGGGATTTGAACTGCTGACCTTTCCGATTGACAAGCTCAGCGTCTTAGCCACTGAGTCGCCCCGTCCCTCCTCATTTGACTTAACCAACACACAAAAATGATCTGGTCCCATTCTCACTCCTCCCCAGTTACAACGATTAATAACCTTTTCTAGATAGGTGTAGCTCCATATTTTTCCATCTGCCCATGTTCTGGAGATAATCTTCCCATTTGGATCATACTCCATCTTTTCAGTCCAGGTTCCTCTCTGGATGTATGTTACTAATCCAGAATGGGAGTAAGTGATGTTCACTTCATTGTATTTATTGATGGGTGACCAAAGAATTGGTCGGCCTGCCTGGTCGTAGAGGATCCGAAGGGTGAACTTGCGATGGTCATCGTAGATCTTCCCTGTTCTTGTTAAATGGTCAAAATCAATGGACAACAAGTTCCTGTTGTGAGCCTAAAGAAGATAAGAAGAAAGCTCTGGCACATAAGTTCCGGGACTCAAACCCTTCTACCACACATGCAGTTCTCTGCTGCTGCAAGGACCACAAGGAAAAAATTGGCTACAAAATTATAGATGTCAACTTGCACGAATTTTTTTGTAGATACCTCTTGCAATTTTTAGAGAAATTATATTTACACGCTTACTTATCTGCCCTCCAATCATGTAAAGAAGGGCACAATTCCAAATGTTCGAGACCATGTATTTTATTACCAAAGATGTTATTATCCACTATTATTAGTAGTACTGTATTTTAATACTATTGTAAACAGTGATGATTCTCGTCTGTTGCTGGTATATAACCGTAATAAAGTTTTATTCTGTTCTGTTCTGTTTTGTTCTGTTATTCTACTCTACTCTACTCTATCCCTACCCTACCCTATGTCACATAAGCAGTTCTGCTATTAAACAGAGGTGAGCAAAACGCTTGTAGTTTACAACAGATCGTATTGCTTTACTGAAAGGATCCCAGCATTGTTCTGACAATACGGACAATATTTTAAGTTTGGGGCATTTCTGATAGCATCAGAACAGATATGCAATTCTTGCAGTCCATTTTGAACTTGGAGCAGCCATTCCAATCTCATAATAGGACTCGTTGACCTAGAAACATTGCAAATTGGAAACTCTGTAATGAAAAGTACAGCATGCATTATGGTTGACTGGATTTATAGATTATAGACATGTGATTTGTTTGCTTTTCTCTGAACCTAGTCTCTGGGATACATCGACAATGACTGATGGTTGTGCCAAGAAACTTTGGACTTGCTCACAGTTGCTACAGATGCTTCACATCCTGGTCGTAAACTGCATCAACTTTTCCCTTCGGGATGCCTTTGTAAGGCATTGCATGCCAAAATAACCAGACACAGGGACAGTTTTTGCCATCATGCCATCATTCTGCTGAATACCTAATTCTCAATACAGTAGAACCTCTGGCCATGACTATAATTTGTTCCATAACTTTAGTCACAACCTGATTTGATTGTGATCCGAACCCAATTTTGGAAATTTGGTGCTAACAAAAAAAATGGCGCAGAAGGGGGAAAAATTGTGATTTTTTTGGTCAGAAGCCGATTTGGTCATGGTCAGAAATGTTCATGACCAGAGGTTCTACTATACTGTCTTATGTCTATTTACCCACATTGTATCACTGTAGTATTATTATGCTTCTTACCTTCTTTACTACTCCTTATTATTGCTATTATTATGATTATAATTATGTATGTTGCTTTGCATGTAGACTGAGAGCTTCTGCACTGGAAACAAATTTCTCCTGTGTCTAATAATGCTTAGCCAAATAAAAGTATTTCATTCCATTCCTTTCCAAACTGGTCAAATTAAACTTCATTCCCAACAGTGGTGAAATTCAATTTTTTTTACTACCAGTTCTCTGGGTGTGGGGTTGGTGAGTGTGGCGTGGCTTGGTGGGTGTGGTTCAGTGGGCGTGGCAGGGGAAGGATACTGCAAAATCCCCCTTCCCTCCACACTCCTCAGGGAAGGATGTTGCAAAATCTCCATTCCCACCCCACTCGGGGGCCAGCCAGCGGTGGTATTTGCCGGTTCTCTGAACTACTCAAAATTTCTGCTACCATTTCTCCAGATCCTGTCAGAACCTGCTGAATTTCACCCCTGGTTCCAAATGATGGATGAACCCAAGTCTTCTTTCAGACTCAATCAGACGTTCTCAGTTACAGAAATGAATGGAATGGCATAATACAGATCAAGCTTGATTCCTAGTGACTTATAGCAATAGCAATAGCAGTTAGACTTATATACCGCTTCATAGGGCTTTCAGCCCTCTCTAAGCGGTTTACAGAGTCAGCATATTGCCCCCACAGTCTGGGTCCTCATTTCACCCACCTCGGAAGGATGGAAGGCTGAGTCAACCTTGAGCCGGTGAGATTAGAACCGCCGAACTGCAGATAGCAGTCAGCTGAAGTGGCCTGCAGTACTGCACCCTAACCACTGCGCCACCTCGGCTCTTAATGGAGACTTCATGGAGATGTCCTTATAATTTTGTTGACAATTATATGGAAGCGATTTGCTATTATCTTCTTCCAGGATGGGTTGTCTTTTTTTGCTTTTGCTTCTCAATCTATCTGAAAACTGCAAGGTTTTTTCCCGATGCCTCCCAACCAACTACTAATCAGGTCTGACCCCCCCCCCCCCTTAGCATTCTCAAGCCAAGGTTGCCGTCTGTTGGGTCTATACTCCTAGTGTTGGGTAGGCAATATAGATTCATATATAATAACAAATGGTGGATGTTGCTTTAAACGGGTGAATCTACTTATCAGCTGTAATTAACTTTGCAGTAAGAGGGAGTCAGGAAAGCTCCCTCTCTTTCTCTGCTTCTCCTATGCTTGATGACTACTTGCTCGCTTGATGACTGGAACATGAACTGCGACTGTAAGCAAATGTTTGTACTTTGAATTGTGTTTGGACACACATCTACTATCATTGCTTGTGAAGCTATTGTTAGTAGTAAAGCTAATAATTTTTACTAGCAGTATCTGGGACTCTATTCGTGTGTTTTTCTTCTACTAGCAATGTTCCGTCTCTCTAGCTGTACATTCCGCTGCACTATTTTCTGTCTCCCAACGGAGATACCCCTAACACTGTCCATCTGCTGTGGGAGCCTTAAAGAAAGCCCTGGAATATTCTGTTCTCCCATTTTCCATCAAATTTGACAGATCTATAATGATTAACTTGTTGGTAGGCCATTTTTTAAAAGATCATTAGTTTGAATGCACCCTGTTAATCAAGACCACCCCAGGGAGTAGTTCCGTCAAATTGAAAACAGATTTCCTAAAGCGTTTCTTCACCCTGTAAGTTTATTGATGTCTTCACTTTTAAACCCAAGTCTGTTAATTAAAGAGAGTAAGGGGGAAAGAAGTATTGACTCACCTGCCACAGAGATCTGCTAATACTCTTGTTGAATGAAAGCCATAAAGGCCAACCTGATACAATGACAGCAGCTCATCCTGTGTAAATGCAAGACTGGAGAGACCAAAGTGGCTTTGGAAACGAACTCCTAAGACTGTTCTGACCTAGGCTTCACCAAATCACGAAACAGACTCCTTGTCCTGATCAAAAAAAACCTTTTTATTTGGCTAATGTGAATTCCTAGCATTCACAGCCAGCAAAGTCCCGGCAAACAGTCTTTCAAGGGTGAATTGCAACACAGACCTTATCAGTTCTTGGAGAGCTGCCAGGCTGTTATCTTCCAGGCACAATGCTGTACAAGGAAATACTTGGCAAGGACTCTCTGTGAGGCACAAACTCAGCTAAGCAAATATTCACGTTCTTGAAATGAATTAATTGTCTCCTGCAAACTCCACTCCCCTTTCACTCCTATTTATTCCCTATGGGAGGGGTCATTCAGCATCCCCTCGTGCCTTTTCTCCTGAGTTGACCTCTGTTCCTTAACTATTCCCTTCTCCTGGCAGCTCTGCGCATGTGCACATCGGTAACTGTAAACACTCTGCTAGCTCAGTTGCCCAGATTCTACCCCACAAGGGATTATGGGGTCATTAAATGAAGATGATGATTGTCATGCTTTCAAACTGTAGGTTGACAGGAGCTGAGGCGAGGACAGTAGCTCACCCTGTTGGGTGGTGTTCGGGTCTCGAACCTAGGCTGCTGGTTTTTCAGCTGACAAGTCTATAATCATTGAGCCACCATACCACCATCCATAGAGGAGATGAGCAGCATAAAAATAAATGAATAAAAAAACAAAAAAAACCAAATAAAAATAAATTGGAGAAAAGTACACTTTTGGAGATCTGCAGGGAAAGAGCCTGCTTTTGCCATGTACTCCCCACTCTGTGCCTTCAACAAATCTAACGGAAAATGGAAGGGCAACCTTTCTATAATGCAAAAAATCCAAACAACCAGTGGACAGCATGAGAATGTCAGAGTTTTATCTACATAAAGGTGGAAGGTAAAGGTTCCCCTCACACATATGTGCTAGTCATTCCCGACTCTAGGGGACGGTGCTCATCTCCGTTTCAAAGCCGAAGAGCCAGTGCTGTCCGAAGACGTCTCTGTGGACATGTGGCCGGCATGATTCAATGCCAAAGGTGCACGGAACGCTGTTACCTTCCCACAAAAGCTGGTCCCTATTTTTCTACTTGCATTTTTTACGTGCTTTCAAACTGCTAGGTTGGTAGAAGCTGTGACAAGTAACGGGACCTCACTCCGTTACGCGGCGCTAGGGATTCAAACTGCCGAACTGCCAACCTTTCTGATCGACAAGATCAGCATCTTAGCCACTGAGCCACCATGTCCTTAATCTACATATCTCCTGCTAAATCTAATCTTTGACCTTTTGTGGCACAGACGGGGTGGTCAAATCCACACAAGTAAGTTAAAACATAGGAAGATCCATCTTTTCCTTCATTACGGAGGGTTGGGCCTTCTCAGGAAGCTTGGTGGTGAAAACTGAACTTCAGGCAGTCTTCTAGCTGTGCTTATCATAAATAGCTTGGTTCGCCTTGCTCTTCTGTTTACTTGTTTTCAGGTAAAACATGGAGATTGGAAACACCATTGGAAAGACGGAGACTAAAAGGCTTGTAATTAAAGCCCTGAGCAATGTGAAACACAGCAGCGCACCTCTCAGCGCATCCAATCTAGCCTATCTGGCTGCCTTAAAATAGCTCATCATGAAAAGAATCTGTAACACCCCACAGTAGGTCACCACTGTCAAAAACCATCACAAATCACAGTAAAGTGACCGCCGATCTCTACAAACAGTCATAAAGGCAGTGTGTGTGTGTGTGTGTGTTTGTACGGCCGTTGTAACTACAAGGAATGATAAGTAATGAGAGCCATGGTGGTGCAGTGATTAGAATGCAGGATTGCAGGCTAATTCTGCCCACTGTCGGGAGTTCGATCTTGACCGACTGAAAGTTGACTCAGCCTTCCATCCTTCCGAGGTCAGTAAAATGAGGACCCAGATTGTTTGGGGGTAACATGCTGACTCTGTAAACCCCTTAGAGAGGGCTGTAAAGCACTCTGAAGTGGTATATAAGTCTAAGTGCTATTGCTAATATATTGGAGGAAGGTCAGTTGTAATTTGAATAGAGATCAGTTATTAAGCAAGGACTGCCTATATGACAGTTTGTCATTGTACTATGCTCTCTTTTAAACTGAAAAACATCTTATGTTATAAATTATAGCACAGGTTTTAATTTAATTTTCTTGAATGTCACACCTCCTGTTATGCTATTTCTTTTCCTCACTATTATTTTTCTTTTGATGTTACATCGTGCTGTTCCAATCTGTGGTCACAGCAATAACTTTATTTCTTATTAGGTTAGGCATTTTTGAAAAGCTTTTAGCTGGATACTCCCTCCTCCGTTTTGTAAAAAGTGAAGTATTCACCAAGGCAGCAATTTTGTACAGATGCTTATAATTCATGGTCAAAATTTCTAATGTGTACACTGCCCCCCCCCAAAAAAATTAGTTTTATAAGAATGTCACCTGTTGCTGAAATATGTGTGTGTCCAGGGGTGGGACTGAAAAATTTCAGTAACGGGTTCTCTGCTTGGTTGCTGGGTGGGCGTGGTCTACTCGGCTTCCTACACTATGGTTGGGGGGGTGTTTTCACCCTCCTCCAGGCTCTGGAGGCCCCCCAGAGGCTGGAAACAGGCCCCTTTCAAGGCTTCCAGAATTTTTCACAATCCCAGAGCCACTGTGTGGGCCTTGCACTTACCCGGCATGATGAACAGGCCTTGTGGAGACTCCTGGGAGGGGCACGGTGGGGTGGGTGGGGCCAGCCAATCCCTGCAACTACTAGTTCGGCAAATTGGATGTAATTAATATTAACATCCTGTTTGCCCGAACCAGTCCAAACCGGCTGAATCCCACCTCTGTATATGTCCCTTCAAGCCAGTTTTTGACTTCTGGAAACTGCTTGTACCAGTCCCTGCAGGTTTCTCGACAATGTTTTTAAAAAAGTGATTTGCCATTGCATCATTCTGGGGCTGAGAAAGAATGACTGGCCCCAAATAACCCAGCTAGCTTTGTGCCTCTGGCGGGACTGTATTTAGCCTGATACCTTAACCAATACCATCAAACTGGCTCTCACTTTGAAAGAGACACAAAGAGGAAATTGACAATGCAAACAGAACCACACTGGCAGATTTGCAGTGTGAGCCAGAAGTGTAGGTCTCTTCAGTGGGAAAACTTACCCGCAACCTCCTTTCAAAAGTGGAAATATTGCCTTTAGTTTGTTCCTTCCTTTGCCTCCACTCGATAAGGTTGGAGTTGTGCTCCCCAGGTAAGGAGATATTACATTTTCCTAAGGTGGGGTTGACTACACCAGCCAAGATGTGTGTCTCAGCATTCAGCGTCAGCTCCATTCCGCTGGCAAAGGTGACTCGGAGGGATCCGTCTGGACTGACCCGGTAAATATTCTGAATATTGTCTGTCATCACACAAAACAGAGGAGAAAGAGCTCAGCTATTTATCTAGTCTTGGAATGGCATTTCCAGTGGTTCCACAACTGGAAAAACATGGGGGTTTGCAATGACACTCCATTAAACCCCAATATAGCTTATTAGCATTATTCTCTATGTTCAGTTTCAATGAGGGCCGCATCAGGGTTGTGTTTGACCTCAGGGGCCGGAATGGGTGTGGCCAGGGTGGGCCTGGCCAGCTCAATGTCACTCCTGTTGAGGGCACCTGTGGTGGCCCAAGTGCTCTGCCAGCGTGCGGCCTCCCAAGCTCTGTTTTCACTGGCAGAGGGTTGCAGGAGGCCCTGGCAGCCAAATACGGAACTCATGAGCCCATTTTCTCTGGCAGAAACACCGTGGGCTGGTCCTTCGCTGTTTCCAGGGCAGCCGCATGTAGCCAGATCTAAGTACCCCGCGGGCCGGCCCCTGGGCCTTGAGTTTGACACCCCTGCTCTATACCAAAGAAAATAATTTCCCAGAGTAATACTGAAAGAAGCTATGGTACTAATAGCATTGAATAGGGAAGAACTCCCAGAGCTATTGAAAATATAGTTTGATTACCAAATATAGTTTGATTACTTGATTACAGAGTGATGAGTGCAGGATTGCAATCTGTTTTATTAAGGAGTGACACTGACACATATATAAAAGGGGCTTAGACTGCCATATTGCAGATTTGGTCCCATACACAAATGGTTTCCACTCTGCATAGCCACACAAAGCTTAGTATATAAGCTCAAAAGAACCACAATGGAACCATAATATAGCAATGCTCTTTATTGCAATGAGCACCAAGTCTCTTAAAAACAAACAAAAAAATGTTTTTTTTTGCAAACATCTGCATTTTTTTTTGCAAACAAGGAATACCCATTAAATAATTTTGCTTAGAGTGGGAAGTTGAAAAAGAAACTTATGGTCTTAAAGAAGAAATGAATGGTCCTCCCCAGTTGAAAAAAATAATAATCTGTACTCTAGAATTGCTGCTAAAGTGCAAACATGTATTTTCTTTAGTCCAGGATGGGGAGCTGTAACCCTGGAGCAATTGCACCCTGAAGCGCAAATAGAAAAGAATTCTGCATCCTTGCTTCAAATATTGCTTTTTAAAAAAAATTCACAATCTGGCTCATTAAAAGCAGCACCCGAAGGCTTGAAAGCTTCCACAGGATTTAAAACTCCGACTCTTGTATGGAAAAAATCCATTTGAGAACTTTTGGGGGGAAAAAAAGCACAGTTATCAATGTTTGGTAAACATGTTTTTTAAAAAAATATATATATACTGAGTTGCTTGGTTATAATTAGGCATTTACTAAGATTTTATTCAACAGACTTTTTACCCTGTGACAATTGAGTTTATTAGCATATGGGCACTGAATTTGTTCTTAATTTTATTAACTAAAATTGACTAGCATGACAGAGATGAGCTGAAGGGTGAAATAATTACTGCAAAACACTTCCCCCCTCCAAAAATAATAAATAAAAGAGCTTCCAACTTTTGTTTTGCCTTTCTTTTTATTGTCTTTCTCTCTATATTCTAAGCCCCAGGGAAATATTTGTATTTGAAATGCATTGGGTTGCAATAAAATAATACTTTCTGTAGCATCTGGAAATCTTTCTCTCCCTCTTTGAGGGTAAAACACCTCCTCCTTCCTCCAAATCTGTGGCTTTTATGTGCAGCTGAAATAAAAGTTATCTTACTGTTTTCTTTAAAAAAATAAATGTAACTATTATAACGCTATAATATCTGAAGAGTATCTTGCAGTGACATCGCAAAGAAACATGGATCACAGTAAGTACAATACGTTAGTTTCCACAAATTATTAAGATTCATCATTAAAGCACACAGACACATTGTTGGTGTCTGTAATGCTCGGAAACCTTTGGTAGGGAATGATTCTGGTTTTGATCCTTGTGGTATCCTATTCAGGTCTACAAAACTTGAGATTATCTGTCCATTTGGAATGAGGCATCATCAATACACAGATGATACCCAATCAAATTTATTTTGTTTATTTATTTGAGTTTTATTCCACCTTTATTACTTTATAAGAACTCAAGGTGCTGAACATACTAATACTCTTTCCTCTTCTTACTTTCCAGACAACAAGATAGATATTCTACTTGGCATGTGATCCAGAATGACAAACAAACCTACAGAGGCTGGGGAGGGCAAAAAACTGGCCCAACAGGTCAACAGGAAGTTTGGAAACGAATTTCCGGTTTGTCAGGTGCCCTGTTTTTCACCCTCCCCAGGCTTCAGGAAAGCCTCCGGAGTCTGGGGAGAGCAAAAAATGGCCCAATGGCCCAACTGGATGTTCGAGAGCCTGGGGAGGGTTAAAATGGCCTCCCCCAGCCCCCCGGAAGGCTAAAAATCAGTTGGCCAGCATGCGCCCTGGAGCTGAGGGCTGCCGTGCTGGCAAATATGGCTCCGTGTGCCACCTATGGCATGCGTGACATAGGTTTGCCATCACGGCCCTAATCCCTTGTGAGGTGGAGTCTGAGTAACTGAATGCAGCTGAGTGTTTACTGGCCAGATGCCCTTCCTGTCGCCAATGTGGAGTTTCATTCAGCAGATATGTTTCTCAGTGTCTCCAGAGAGAAATATCTGTCTCCACCTAGGGTTGAACTCACAGCCTCCTGATTGTGAGTCGAGAGCTTCACCTCTAGGCCATCACACCACTAAAAAAAAAAAGATTAAAAATACAAGCAGCCTGCTTTTTGGCCATCTTTGGCCATTTTCCAGCCATTTTCCGGCACTCTGATGCCCGCCAAAACCAGCGTGCCGGAAACCAGAGGAGCAGCTGGCGACAGTGCACGTGCCCAGAGAGTGGGCTCTGTGTGCCACCTCTGACACGCATGCCATAGATTCGCCATCACCGATTTAAGAGCTGCTTTTCTACAATATTTTCTCTTTGTCCGACTCAAGACTTACCATATTTTTCAGAGCATAAGACGCATCCTTTTCCCTCAAAAAAGAGGGTGAAAATCTGGGAACATCTTATACACTGAATATAGCATTTTTGGCCACCCGAAATCCTGCCCCCCTTTGCAGAAATGGCCATGCACATCCTTTAGGAGGCTTCCAGAGTGCTTCTGGAGGCTAGGGAGGGCAAAAATGAGCAAACAATGGGTCGTTTTTTGCTCGTTTCTGTTCCCCCCCCCAGCCCCCAGGAACATTCTATAAGCCTCCTAAAGGCTATGCATGCCCTTTTTTTGACAAAATATGGGCCTGTTTTTGTGAAAAGCAGGCCATTTTTGGGAGGTCTGCGGAGTGAAAAAACTTTTTTTAAAAAGTTGCCTCTTCAAAATCTTGGTGCCTCTAATACTCTGAAAAATACGGTACATAGTACCAGCTAGTTAAGAATCAGAAAATATGGAACCCCAATGGTGGGCATTCTCTGAAGTAGCGCTTACTTCTTTAGAATAATTGCTCCCTAAGGCTAGGATGTTGAAATATGGCTGATCCAAGAAAGCCTTTGGGGATTAATTATAACCAATATTGCTATATTCAAGACATTTAACTTACTACTTTTAGCCTTCATTTAAAATGAGATTTAATTACACGACTGTTCTAATTAATTATTATAGTGACTCGGGTTTTACATGTAAATTATGTAGCCACCTAGAGTCCTATGGAGGTCGACAAATGCCATAAATAAATAATAAATAAGCAAATGAATAAAACAAGCAAGCTTGGAAATTCCCCAGTTTATCATTAAAGGACAGTTCACCAAAGTTTATGGGATTCTCACTTTTATTGGATCTTGGCAGCTGTGTGGGGTCGGACATCAGTAAAACTATAGGATTGTGATTTATCACTTATAGCTTTTATGTACACTGAGAGCTTATGCCCCAAGACAAATTCCTTGGGTGTCCAATCACACTTGGCCAATAAAGAAATCTATATTTCATAAGAGAAAATGCAAAGGAATCCATAAACGCCAAAGTAGTCACAATTGGTGTGGTGGTTCGAACCAAGCATGGTTTAAACATGGTTTATTGAATTACCCTGTATTAGTTGGCTTGAACAAAGTTAAAATGTAATCTCAGGTTTTGATACCAGGTTAGTTTGTGGCATTAAATGATATTATGTTAAAGCTGAGCGGTGTGGTGGCCTAGTGGTGGAGACTCTCACCTCCTACTTGGAAGGTTGAGGGTTCAATCCTTGGTAGTGGCAGATATTTCTACCCTAATGAGCAAAGAAAAAAATATCTGCTGTGAACTCTGCATGGCATCAGGAAGGGCATCTGGCCAGTAAATCCAGTTCTATCTATCCAGTTGCCCAAATTAAGGGATTACAGGGTCGTAAAAAGGGAGTTTAAGGTTATTATATTAGAGCTACCCTACCACCTACTTCTAGGTTCTATTGCTGTTCATAAATTTATTATTCTTTCTCTTGTTCGATTTATCTGGGACAAACAATAGATTGATGGTCTGTAACATTCTATGTCTCTTGTTTTAAAAGTGGTGTCATCACACTTAAGTTTCCAAAGAGGCCAGTTTTAGTGATACACAGCTTGGTTCAATCGCTCCCACGGGAGAGAATAAATTTGACCGGATTATACTGGTTTTTTAAAAGAAAAAAAAAACTGCTTTTGATCTCAAGGCTTCTTATAGTTGTCATCTTATTATTCTGAACTTGCTTGATCAGATATTTTGAATAACCTGTAGGAGCCAATATAATGAGCTACCTCGCTTTGGTGGAGGGCTTTGAAAAATATATTCAGAAGAACGTTAAAACTATGAGATCAAACACAGAAAAAAACAACAACAACGCGGATGCATTTTGCCTACCTTGTTTTAAAGTATAAATAGTTGAGGTAGCTGAAAAGTTAGTTGCTGTAATCACATTTTCCCTATTTGAAGCGTCAATTTCTATTCTCATCAGTTTTTCAACATCGCTATGGAAACTGCTGACTTCCCCAGTGGGGAAAGTTGCATTGGTTAAATGACCATCGGAATCATACCTAGAAAAAATTAAAAAAAGCATGGATAAATGGAATATACAATACAGTGCATTGAAAAAGAAAGAACAAGGAAAGAAGGAAGGAAGAAAGGAAAAATAGAAGGGAGGGAAGAGGAATAGAAGGAGGGAGGTGTACCCAGAGATGGTATTCAGCCAGTTCTGACAGATTCTGGAGAACCGATAGTGGAAATTTTGAGTAGTTCAGAGAACCGGCAAATAGGCTGGCCCTGCCCCTGCTGTCTCCCAGCTGATCTTCTATTTTTCCTTTCTTCCTTCCTTCTTTCCTTGTTCTTTCTTTTTCAATGCACTGTATTGTATATTCCATTTA